TGCGATTAATTTACCTATTGGCTCATTTATTTAGAAGGACTTATTCTGCCATATTACGCATTGCACTTTTTCAAACTCATAGTAATACGAGAGAATCATCTTGGTATATATAGGCACTGTCCTAAATGGCACCCTAAACACTCGCAGTCTTCCTAAGTCCTCACTTAAGTAAAACCGCTTTGACTGTCGGGAAGAAGTCTGCTGCAGAGCTCGCTTCAGTTTGGGCTTGGCAAAAGTGTGCATCAAGGGAGCATATCGACCGCAAAGGGGGCGCTCGCGAGCACCCTTCTGAAATTTAAAATGACAAATGGGACACACTAAGGTCTCATGGACTTAACAGACACGCGAACGCGGCAGCCATTGTAAGTCCACCAGACCGAAAGTGTATATGAAGTGTGCCATTTGAGACAGGGCCATGCAGTCTTTGCTAGTATTGAGCTGTATGTGATCTAGGGCTGTCACTTTACGTTCGGAAATCGATTGCACAATCGATCGGACCAACCAACACAAGTATCGAAAACGAAAATAGGGAATCGATTTTAACGGCCTTCTCTCGGAGCGCGTCCAGCTCGTCACGACACGCCCGCAGCAAACGCGCGTCACACAGCAACTGCAGGCTCTGACAAACACACATACAAACTATACTATACTTCTGCATAATGTGTCTCTTTTTGCAACAAAAATGTGAATTCTGCCGTTATTCAGACAGTCTCATGCATACAGATACAGATGCGGCCTACAATCGCCTACGTAGGCGAAATTTGTTTGACATTTCTAATCGTAAACACAGCCATGTTGAAGCCTGCAGTAATGTTTTTCATTGATGTTATGGCATCAATGGATGCTTATTGTTTTTCGAGAATCTTGCACTCCCGTGTGTCATTGTGCACGAAACTTCATGCCAATAAATCATCAGAAATATTGCTGACTTGTGCGCGTCTCAAGCCAAGCGCACTCTTTACGCTCGTCCCAATGCCTGTTAGTTGTCCGTGGATTTGCCTATATTTGGCGCTGAAAATGGAAACGTCTTTAGACATGGAAAATCGATTTTACAATCGATTCAATGAACATTTACGTCTCAAAAATCGATCAGGATTTTTTCACAAAAGTGACAGCCCTAATGTGATCTCAACACTGCACCCCCAAGTGGCGACCCACTCCACGTAAAATAAAGGCGCATTTATTAGACTACTCATATGAGTCATGCGACTGTAGCGTACTTGATATTTTTAGAAATTACTGCTCATTTTTGCAATAAGTTTACACATTTTTCAGAGTTAAAAAAGTTATAAGTTAAATGTTATTGCTTAAATGTTCCAACAGTTTTTAGAGGAAACATCCAGAGGTTTAAGCCTTTACATCAAAAGAAAATGCAGAGATTTTCTTGAACAAGTTAGTTTTGCATGTGAAGTTGGAAATTTCCATAGGCAAATAAGTATCTGTAACTAATGCTAACTACTTTCTTGTAAAGTGAGTTCGAAAATGTTCAACTTTAGACACCTTAAAGGGCTACAACCAACTGTTAACTGGTTGAATATTGCAAGCCACTCCCAATACCAACAAACATACCGAAAAGATAGCCTCGCCCCAAACTCAAGCTATCGGTTGAGCTCAATTGTGATGCTCAAACAAACAGCAATGTTTTGATAGCACCATAGAATCACATTGTTTACAGAATCAGCCAATAAACTACTTGTTGTCTCTGTGAGGCTGGATTAGGAGAAAGTATTTCAACGAAATATTACAAATTTCACCTTTAATTCATTATCGTCCATTTAACAAGCGTTCCGTGACAAACTCTCTGGTGCTCTTTAAAATGCAACACTAACTGCTCTGAAGTTAGTTAGCTGCCAGCAAATGGGCTGAACAGCCTTTGGACAATAAAATACATCAATCACCAGCTTCTGTACTGAGAACTCTCAAGTCAAGAGTCGGGACTCTTGAGCCCTCTTGTCTAGCTTTCCTGAGTTCTTCTTTCCTGCTTTTGTCCAATTCTACTTTCACTGCAGTCATGTGATGTGCACCGTGGAGCTTAATTCCCATGTTAAGCGCTAACATATAGATTATTTAGTCTTATTGGACAGTCATTAAATGACTGATGCAGAGAAATATAGAGCCATGTCATGTGATTATCAAACACCTTTGTTTGACAGTGGCTACTTCAGCGCTGCGCTCCCCCTGTTGTTTCAGTGTTTGCCTGGAGCTTTTAAACTAAGAAAGTCTGGATGTCTACATGATGGATGGCTATGGGGGAACTCTCCCTTGTAAAAATCTGTGCTAAATAACACTGGCTTCAAATACACATCAGCGTGCTTGACTAATAAACATTGCGCTCATTGTTTGCAAAGATATTAGCAATAGCGTTGTGCTATTATTCCGCTGTGGCAAGGCGCTAGACCTATAGGAGCTACAATTTGCAAGAAGGATCCAAGATATCAGACCTTTTACAAACATCTCTAGCATCTGCCAGATGGATTTGTGTGCACAGAGCAGAGATGTTTGTTCATTTGAGTCCTCCATCCTAAACAGAATTCTCAATGAAACTCACATGTTGCATGTATAAAACAGCAAACATGACATCAAAATGTTTGTTCCAAATTTGTCAAGAACGATGTACTCTCTAAGTGGTGTGCATGAACTGACTATTTCATCTAAAGTCTATTTAAGTGCAATGCAATACAATTCAGTTATTTGAGTGAGTCAATTATTGATTTCAATAACACTGTTTATTAATTTCAGAAACCTTATCCAATATTAACCCTTAATGAAAAAAATAAGTGATTTTTCTTTTTCTTAATTGTATTTCTCTTTATGCTTTCTCTCTTTTTACCCCTTTAGAACTGCATAGATTGCTACAGTTTCCAGAAACAAATCACATTTGTCAACTAAACTCATTGTTACCCTCACAATGAAATATCTTATCAAGATCGATCACAAAGATTTAATCTTAGCAAATGCCCTTTTATGCCAAAGTGAGGTTGTGAAGATTAAAATGATATATTGGCACATGTTTATTAGGCTCTTTGGTAAGTGCCGTTTCAGAGTGGAAGTCTACAGGGTTTGGGCCGTTGCTTATGCATTATTCATGATGTTGTTCCATTGCATCTCTGCAATACAGCCCAGGTCTCCTTAAAGTTACAACACCTCCATCAAACACATGGGCAGAGGCGCACGTGTCAGAACTGCGACAGCGATAGGCACCAGTGCCATCATTAGCATATTTAATGCTGTTTTTCAATGGGACAATTAAGGGAATTGTCAAAAGTTGTTCTGTTAATGACATCACAAATGGGCAAGACTGATTGTGATAGCGATAAATGCTATAATTAGATATATTCTTTTTTTTGACAGTTGAGTGGAATACGGAGTAGGTTGCAAGACTTGCATTATAACCAGTGGACCTTTGAAGAAAACATGACTATTTCCCATTGGGATCAGCATTACAGACATGGCCCTGTGTCACAGCACAAATATTGACAGCTATTATTTACAGACGTTTTACTGTTATTTCAAAAGTACAATAAAGGAGGTAAAATGCTGGCAGTGTTTTAGGTGCATATGTTTTGTTGTCATTAAACTGTTGTTAAAAAAAATGTTGTCCCAACTAGCCTAACAGAGTTTGTCAGAATATACAACTTAATATCGGACAATATATGTTAGTTCCTAGCATGCACTGCACTGCAGAATGAATAAATAATGTATTTACTGTTATAGATTTATTGATGCTAAATTTATATGCAGTTTTTGTTGTCACTGTTATTTTTGTGTGCGTGGTGATACTATAATCTTTATGCTTGTTCATTATCACCGTTATTTAGGTTTACGTGCATCTACGTCTAATTCAATTGATCTCTTCTTTAGAGGCAAAGATTGCAGGGTTCCCTTGATGTTAAGAGTCATAAAGTGATGACGATTCAAATATTTTGTGTTGTTAATTGAAAATGTGCTGCATGAGAAATCTGTAGTTGCCTTGACAACAATTAATTGGCTGAATGTATGTGACATTTATTTTTAAATTTGTGAACAATACATTTAAATGGACTATTATGTTGCCTTGATTTTTAAGTTTTCCCCAACAATATATTTATTATTATTTATAATTATTCAAATAAACTGTTATGTGTTCATGACAACATGCAAACATTTAAGTTCTGAATGCATCTAAAATATTCAAATCAGATAATGTGCTGATATCACTTTTGCAGCAAAGTTTGTGGGACTATTCATTTTCTTTTGCACGCCAAATGGTTCTGCTTTGTCAAAGTGCTTTTGCCATCTTTTATACACTTGATCATTTTCCTTTATCCTTTAAACTAATAGTCAGATTATTAGTAGCCACACTTGTATAATTTTTATAGTAGAAGTTCATTTAAAAATTTTTTTATTTAAAACAGCTGTGTTGCTCTAATAGAAGAGCATCACTCCTCTGCGCTCGTGCGCTGTTCATTATCTTACTGCCTCCACGTGGATTTTAATTAGTGATCAAAGTGGATGTTGCTTCTGTACGCATCACCTAAATTATGTAAATTCAGAAAAGTTCACCAGAAAGTCTGAAATATGTCCCTAAATGCGCATTATATTTAGGGACATATTATAGGCTATAATATATATATATATATATATATATATATATATGTATATGTATATGTATGTATATATATATATATATATATATATATATATATATATATATATATATATATAATTCCAGGGAAGTGCATTGGACTTTTGAGGAATCACTATCCCGAATACAAGTGGTCAGAGGCTAAACAATATCATCACAATGCACAATACACTTGTGCAGCCATGCAACTTACAGTGATCACAAAGTAAACCAGTTGCAAAACTAAAACATAGGCTATAGTTTCATCACTCTTAGTTCACACTCTTAGTTTTGTATAATCAGATAAAGTACGAATAATTTTGCAAAAGCACTGGCCAGCATAACTTTTCCCAAACTACAGCTGTCACTGTCTCATGTGGAGCGATGCCAAACTCACCTCTGTCCGGGACTGAAGTCGTTTGTTCATCTCATAGATTCTGTACTCAGGCTGCACCATGTACGGTGAATGTCTCCGGTAGAACGGTCCGAAAGGGGACGAGTAGAACGGGTCGTGCGGAGGGTTGGACATGTTGATTCCGTGTCGCGTTTACAGCAGCGCCGAAGATTCAGCATCCATACAGCGCGCGTGCAGGATCTCCAAACGCCGCGAGACAGCAGCAGCAGTCACTGGCTGCACGCGGAGCGGAGAGATGAGAGCGCGCGGAGGAGGCGGGAGAGGAGGAGAGCAGAGGAGGAGGTCTGGGCTCTCATTGGATAGCCGCAGGCTGCACTGGAACATTGTTGAGGGTGAGCCAAGCAAGTCTTACCATCCCACCAAAAAGCAACTGGCCTTTATGGTAATGTTTGTGTTCGGTAACATTCACATTAGCGTATCAGTGTTGTGCACACCGGGGCTAGTTGCCACACGGAGAAGTCTTCACTAGGAAGACTTTGTCAATAGGTCACTAAAACGTTGTTTTCTTCGTGACTAGCAGTGTTGGTGTCAAGCATTTAGTTCAAAACTATATGAAGACGTACATGATCATTTGTGAATTATAGGCCTATACTTCAGATTAACTTTCCAGTCGTATTTTTTTTTACTGTGGTAAACTTACATACATTGAAGTCAACACGGAAGTTGCGATAGTAGTATTTTCTTCCCTATTGTGACGTATTTCCGAGTGAAACGGCTTCTCAAACAAGACAAAATGTAGGTCAATCACTGATCTGTATAATGATTCACTATATAGATCAGTGAGGTCAATGTTTGATTTTGTCCATCGGAAATGTAATGGATTGTTGTCGTTTGCTATTGCTGTGATGTCATGTGAGTGACAGGTTGTCCCGCCCTCGAGCCAGTAAACACGTCATTAGAGAAGAGAAGAGAAGAGATCTGGCTGCAAGAAAGCGGGGAAGTTATTTTTGATTAATGATTACAAAGACACATATAATTTAATATAAAAATAATGATGTGCATGGATAAATAATTTATAATAAATAGGCTACTGCAATATTCCATAAAAATAAGAATAGTCCATTTTGATTATAGGCCTAGTGACTTTAAGGCCACAGAGGCCTTATGCCAGGGCAAGAATGTAATGGGGCTCTAGCGAACATGCAAAATTTCAAAACGTGGGGGTAAAATGTAACCATAATGAATTATCCTGTTTGAATTAAATTGTAACATAATAGGTATCTTAAAATGCTATGCCTAGTTGATGAATTACATATACTAGACCTATATGGATAATTTCTTTTAATATATTTAATGATTTAATTCAAGCATTCAACATACTGTAAAATAATGACAGGTGTGTTTTATGTGTTAAAAAAAATAATGATAAAATCTGTAATATCAATCTGGATTGAAGAGGATATACAGAGAGTACAATTAAATGACTTCAGTAAAGAGTTATAATGTTTGAAGGACAGAATATGTTGTAATGCTTGTGTACATTTTGACCCATCTTGAATGCACTGTAAATACTATTAACAAAACTATTAATCCTACATTGTAAGGCTTATAGGTTGCATCTATACATGTGATTTTGCCCTTCTGTTAATGCTGTATGGTACAGTATCCTAATACCTTATAGCTCCAAAAATAACCTCTATAATTTAAAACTAAAATAATATAGCAATTTAATGCACCTCCATATATCAGAATAATGGCCACACCTGAGGCTTCTCTGGTGTAGTTGCATCAGTTGTAAATAGAAACTGCACTATACAAATGGGCTTTGAAACTTTACATTACAGTATGTTGCCGGAGTTATTCAGAATTGGAAAATTATTCAATGCCTATTTATTTTTATGCTAATTTATTTTAATGCTGATGTTGATACATTTTCACATTGAGTGTTAGAAGCCTTTTCAAGTCGAGCCCAAAAATGCTCTTCGAAATCCATTTTCTCAATATATGCTAATTAGCCATTATAAGAATTATTCTTATATTGTGTGTTCTGTGGAAGTATTTGAGGCTCAACCATCTTAGACAAATGAAAGTTTAACTCCAAACACTCCAGGCACAGAGATAGGTAATTATGAAAGTTGGGGTGAAAATCTATTAATAAAACTCTCTTAATTAAAAATTACATTATTTAATATCTCAAAAACTTTAAAATTTTTAGAAGAAATGGTTGTTTGCCCAAAGCACATTTCTACAGTGTGACCAAAGGCTATGCAGCTCCAAAAAATAAAAATAATATAAAAAAACTTTTTTAATTTGCCATCTACTTTTAATTTTAGGTTTAATGAGAGAGAGTCTGGAATTGGAGTGTTTTTTTTATTAATTAGAAGTAGAGCCTGAGCGTGGAGTTAGTGGTGTTGAGGGAGATATATGTGGTAAGGTGAAAGAGGAAGAGCACTTCTGGGGGAAATCGAAATGGGTCAGGACACATATAGACAATCCTTCGCCAGGCTCCCCACTGTTACTATGGTAACATACCATGGTGCGTGGCGGATGCCGCCTTTTCGGCAGGTTTGAACCCAAACACACACACACACACATACATAAACATTGCTTTACCTGCAGAAATCTCCTAGCTAGATTTATTGTTTTGAAAATGTACGTTTACCATTACAGGTTTTTTATGTAAACTGGGGCATAGATAAAATAAACACCCTAAAATCATGGCCTGGGCCCTAAAGATATATATATATATATATATATATATATATATTTTTTTTATGATCATAGTCTTGCAATGTATTATTTTACAATTTGTAACTTAATTATATTTATCAATCTTGCATCCATTCTGCTTTATTTTCCAATGCTCCAAAACGCATAACAATAGATTATGTTAAACAACAGCACCATCAAGCCTCAAGAACAATTTACTCTATGAAAAAGCATCTCAGTCTATCAACACAAACAGACTTAGTGAATGTAATAATGAATAATGGTGGGATCTTGTTCTTGAGTAATACTTTACAAAGATCTTCACTGCAGGACACAGATGTAGATGCAATGTGATTTTGACCTAGGACATGCCCCCCCCCCCCCACCCCCACCCCGCACCCCACACCCCACACCCCACACACACACACAGAGAGACACACACACACTAATGTTTTCTGAATATGGATGAAATGTACCCCTGTGCTCGAGGAAGAACTGCTAGTTTTGCTGGAGAATCTCATTAGCATCGTAATAGCTTGCAGCCTTATTTGCATATTGCCAAGAGTGATTTTTTCCCCTTTGGATAAAGGAGAGAGAGAGAGAGTTGGTAAAAAAAAAGCTAAAACTTTGAAGCTCCATATTTTATTTCATTATTTAAGTTAAATAAATTCTAATTGAAAGACGCCTTTCAATTTTGTTTCCCTGCTTGTATTAGATACAAATAGTTGACTTGTTGAGCATTTGCTGAGAAAACATCCATTACTGCTGAGATAAACACTATTAAGTTTTTTCTCATTATGAAAAAAAATCACAAAATAAACAAAGACATCATAGTTTGTCTGTTAATCTGAAACTTCAGGACAACAAATGTGTCACCTGAGGGAAATTTTAGCATTAAGGAACCCAAACACATTTTTGAAGGACTGCAGACATTACCTCAGAATTAAAATAATTAAAGACAGTAATATTTTGTGTTATATGTACAGTTGAAGTGCAATTTCTTGCAGTTCAACTGTAGGCATGAGAAATCTCTTCTGCATACTTTATTACAGTTGACCTTTCCATGTGGTATTTCATTTCAGTGGTGTATGACATGTTTGTAATGTGAAAAAGCAATATTTGCTTAAATACGGTGGCTCTGCTGGTGGTCACCAAACGGCAGTATCTGTCTCTCACTATACTCATTTTCCCTGATGGTCACATTCTAAAGCCAAACCTAGAAATCTGGAAACCTTTTAAATTTCCTACTGTAATAAAAAAAAAAAAAAAAAAAAAAATCTAATTTCACAGTTTAACATGCTCTGCTTTTCTGACTTGTGTCACTTGAGCATGCAAAACCTAACTGTTGACTTTCCCCGAGTGATTTATGGAAAACAATTATCTTGACTTAGTTTAGTTGCAAGCTGCATAGAATAATTTATTTGTGTATTTTATATATCTTGTGCCTGAGTAGCGAACATAAAAGAAAATTAAGGAAGGCTGTACTTAAAGAATCAAGGTAATTATTCTTACTAAACCACAAGAGTAAACTAAACTCATTGGTTTTTATAACTTGTGCTTGTATTTTTTATACCTAGTGCCCATGGAGTAAATATCCCTATATCAGAGTAGTATATTGACAAAAAATAAGACATATTATACATTTAAAATCTGTTTAAAATTATTGTGTGTGTGTATATACACTCACCTAAAGGATTATTAGGAACACCATACTAATACTGTGTTTGACCCCCTTTCGCCTTCAGAACTGCCTTAATTCTACGTGGCATTGATTCAACAAGGTGCTGAAAGCATTCTTTAGAAATGTTGGCCCATATTGATAGGATAGCATTTTGCAGTTGATGGAGATTTGTGGGATGCACATCCAGGGCACGAAGCTCCCGTTCCACCACATCCCAAAGATGCTCTATTGGGTTGAGATCTGGTGACTGTGGGGGCCATTTGTCATGTTCAAGAAACCAATTTGAAATGATTCGAGCTTTGTGACATGGTGCATTATCCTGCTGGAAGTAGCCATCAGAGGATGGGTACATGGTGGCCATAAAGGGATGGACATGGTCAGAAACAATGCTCAGGTAGGCCGTGGCATTTAAACGATGCCCAATTGGCACTAAGGGGCCTAAAGTGTGCCAAGAAAACATCCCCCACACCATTACACCACCACCACCACCAGCCTGCACAGTGGTAACAAGGCATGATGGATCCATGTTCTCATTCTGTTTACGCCAAATTCTGACTCTACCATCTGAATGTCTCAACAGAAATCGAGACTCATCAGACCAGGCAACATTTTTCCAGTCTTCAACTGTCCAATTTTGGTGAGCTCTTGCAAATTGTAGCCTGTAGTGGAGATGAGTGGTACCCGGTGGGGTCTTCTGCTGTTGTAGCCCATCTGCCTCAAGGTTGTGCATGTTGTGGCTTCACAAATGCTTTGCTGCATACCTCGGTTGTAACGAGTGGTTATTTCAGTCAAAGTTGCTCTTCTATCAGCTTGACTCAGTCGGCCCATTCTCCTCCGACCTCTAGCATCAACAAGGCATTTTCGCCCACAGGACTGCCGCATACTGGATGTTTTTCCCTTTTCACACCATTCTTTGT